CAATTAAATATATAAAAAACATGAAGTTCAGAGAAGAGACCTCTTTTCAACGAATGTATTATCAAGCTATATTCATCCTAATCCAGAAACGTTCAAACGTCATGCATTTAATTGCATCGATACTATTAAATCTCGATTAGTTTAACTAGAACGCAACAACGTAGATCTAGGTCTGCCGATTGACCACTTGAAAGAACTATTGTTACATTGTACCTTTAATGTCCAGTTCAGTTTCAACAACGGAATATATATACAAAGACATGGGATCGTAATGTGGTCTCCATCGGGTCCAATTTCAACAGACTACTTTATGGCAAACCTGGAAGACGAGTAACTTAGTTCTATGATTAATCGATCCCATCTATACATAAGATACATAGACGACACACTTGACATTTGTGACGACAATATTGAACTAGAAGATATCTTACACTCTTTCGACACATGTCACCCTTCCATGGACTTCACGTTAGAAAGTAAGCGAGATCAGTCAATCGCCTTTCTCAATGTGCGTCTGATGAGAGGGAGTAACGGTTCCCTAAAAAGATCCATATTCAGAAAACAAACATGGAATAACCAGCTGACCAACTTCTATAACTGGGTTCCATTAAGCAGAAAGAGAAATCTTATTCACTTTTTATGTTACCAAATACATCGGATAGTAGTACGGAATGCATTCATGAAGAACTCGCATTTTTCAGGAAAACTCGGACAAAAAATGGCTATAGAGACCGCTTCATAGATAACAATATGAAGAGAAGTAGTTGTGACAAGAAATCAGGTTGTTCCATTCCGAAGAAAAATCTTTATATAAGTTTGGAATTTAAAGGTGATCGAACATCTGATGTAATCAAAAATCGTTTAACAAGAGAGATAAAAAGAACCTTCACTTCGGCAAAACTGCGAATAACGTTCACTAGTAAAAACTTGTTTTCTGTATCCATAAAAGACAAGCTTTCCCGTCTGGTTGCCTCCAGTTGCATCTGCTAGTTCGCCTGCTTTTGTAGAGCCAGGTACATTAGCTGTAGCCAGTGCTCACTTTCAACTCGGATATGCGAACATGTACCAGTGTGGTCCTACAAGGGTAAGAGGAAAGCAGTTAGTAGTTCTAAACTTGAACATCTAATCAACTGTAATCATTCTACTGATCCACAGTTTGATTTTAAGGTTATCTATACCAAATCTACCCAGATTTCTTCGTATCCGACCCCTAAAAGTAGCCGAAGCTCTTACCAACCATAAGTTCAAGTTAGAACTATGCGTACAAATGAAGTACGTTCTATAGTTGTCGTTACCTTGGCCTTAATTATTATTATTATAACTGTGTTTCCCCTTTACTTATGTCTCATATTTTCATTATTTTGTTCATAACTGCTCATGATACCACTTCATTTATTTCGCACCTCTATTACCTCTAATTACCTACAATTATTGTAACAAAACATATTACTACATTCACGTTGGGATTCGTTACTAAATTATTAAGTCTATTGTTATTATCCGTATTGTGTAATATAGTATTATAGTATTTTTATTACATCATCTTGGTTATCCCTTGTTCAAATTTTCGCACGGAACTAGTACTTTAACAATATATATATATATACAGCTTGTTAATAAATTCATTGAAAGATCTCTTAGCTGAACTTCGTGTTTTTAATGCTGAAATGAGAATTATCTGTTAATTAGAAAATCATTACAGGCAAAAAAATGTTTGTTCATTATTTGTGATCGAATAAATGAGGTATGACTACTTATACTTAGTCTCTTTTATTAAGTCAGTTTTTAAGCAATGGCATTTTAATAGGCTTAAGAAAACAAGCCTTAGTCTGGTGATGAATGGATAAACAACTGTGTCGTGTAGTATATTATTTTTGCTATAGAGCGGGCTTAGGAACTGGATTCTGAACAATAATCATTTAGAGTTACTCTCGATTGTGATCGCACTATCATTGTGTCAGTGGTAGTCGAAAGTCACTTGGTATTAGAAAGTCTATGAGAACTAATCAATACTAGGAAAAGATCAATACAATCTCTTTCCCATAGCGGTCCGATCACACAGGCCCGGAAAATAAACCAATAAGACAGTATCGGGGCAACCCGCACAAGATGAACAAATGCCAACAAGACTGAAATAAACTCTAGTAAACTGTGGCGTCAGTCATTGAAGTCACGAACTTCTGGCTTGAACCATGTTGGCAGATGCAGACTACTTGGTTGGGGTTCGTGCGACTGCCCTAACCAATGGTTGGAGACTCTGAGTGATCTAGCTCAGAATCGATCACATTAGCGTAGGTGTACATACTCTTTGTCCTTCCCTTAAACTATGAGATTAAAATTGCTGTATATCTTTTTTTCTACCAACTAATTCGTTCTACCTGTATCTTAACCTTATATGAAATGTTTCTTTTACTACCATTGAAGCAACTGCTTCTACGAATTCGGTGTTCATCTTTTTATGCTAATGAGATGTAGCAACTTGGACCGATGAATATGTGCCTGGTCCTACGTTGTAGCTGACTGTCTGATTGACTAAGATTTACACTGCAATCAAACTTTGAGTAAAATCAGCGTTTTACTTGTTTTCTAGCTTGTATCATTTCAATAATTATTTAACTTTCAACTGGAGCTGTCTTATATTGTTTGAAGCTGAGAATTACAATAAGCGTCACAATTTAACACAAATATCTCAGATGTATAACAGACTTTCACTGGTTTTCTATTCGGACATGTCGTTTGATCTAACCATGTATGCATTTCTTTTACAATTAATTATTTTCCTACGTTTTACAGTTACAATTGTTTTTAATTTAGTTTAAGTTGCTTGAAGAAGAAACATTTTTAAAAAAGCAAATTGTTAATGGCGTAATTTATGCTTATAGACATATACTGCAACAGTTGAAGCTCATCATCTCATGACGTCTAGAAGCTGAATAATATAATAATGGAGAGTTTCACTAATGATACTGTACTTTAAATGGAGACTGTATTTATTTCCTTCAAAATTATACAGAATCACATGATCCCATCATCAATCTTGAAAGTAGAGTTCAGCTCAGTTAATAATCAAGAATATTTTACGTTTTGCAATCATCATTGGAAGAAAGCTTCGGATAACACGCTATTATACCCAGCTAAACTACATACTTCACATTGTTAAGAGATCAATAATTTTGATAGACTGTCGGCTAAAGTAAGGATCACATGTGATATCGCTAAGGTTATAATGTTAACGGTTTTCAAAGAATTGAGGCTCAGCATTCTAATTCGTAGAAAACATTTATAAAACCCTCAGTGATGCCTTCTATCTGAGTCAACCTATAGTTCTTTAAAATTAAAAGGATCCAAAGGTTGGATGGTTTTGCACTAGTTAAATTTAATACGTGGTGCTATGATGAAAATGAAGTGACAATCGATGGAACTGAATCATTATTATGTAACAAAAACAAGTTGCTATCTCAAATCACTGATTTCTAAAACATTCGATTGATTTGAGCGATTTATTGATTCAATTTGTATTATTACCTAATTAAATGCGGAATTTATTGATGAAATGTGATTGAAACTAAAGAACTATAGTAATTCAACTGCGTTATATTTATGAGTTTGCATAGTGTACCTTTCTTACAACTCATTAACAAGTTTACTTCAAGAGCTTTGTAGTGTCGGTTATTATATTAAGCCCATATACCTTATTCCAGCTTTCGGACAGCCCGTTCTTTTCATTCTACTTGAGTCACATTTTGACATTGTTAATTATTCGCTTATCAATCTTGAATGTTTTTAGTTGAGCGCGTAGGTGTGTGTACACTTCTTAATCCAATTACTCATCACATGTCTGTAACTTATTTTTGCGTGCCTATAAATATTGATTAAGGCTTGACTAAAGGGGGGGTTGGCTTACCCACCATCTCCACTGGGTGTCGTTTCGCTTCTCTCTATTCTATTCGAGGCATATACAAAATATATGTATTCAAATGTCCATTTTCGTTATTCGACTTATTTAATTACGCTATTGACGAACACGATTTGAGTCGATGATTATATACGAAAATAAGCGATAACAAACATTCATACAATCTAATTGGAGTCAGATCCACGGGCCACTAAAGTGGAGAGCCCGTCAACAAATATCGTCCGATCTAAATGACGAGTTTTACTATAATATCTAAGCAATTCAACGATATATTGTAGTGGCTGTGCTTCGTTATTTAATCAACCTCGAACCGTTATCGTACAATCTTCAACGATATTTGAAATCAGAAGGCAAAAAGAAGCAGCTACTACAGTTTTATTTAGTAGATAATTCGGACCAGACAGCAGAGAGGCAAAATGAATGAGCAAGCGAACTACGATTGTAGCAGTAGTAAGTAGCTGCAGTCAATGCGTGCAAAATGTACAGGTATATATATATGTATAGGAAAATAGGTGAGTCAGCTAATAGATTAAGCAGTTAATAATGAAGCTAGCAGAATGAATACATGCGTAGGCGCTAAACAATGTTCAAGCATATGTATTTCATACAAGCATAATAATAAAGATAGTACAACAAGTTGTTATATCATGGATGACTTTGTCCATTAAATAAGTTAACAAAAGGGCTTAACTGAGTTAAATGAGAATAAACCCATTTGCACGTGAGTCGCTATAATATAAACATATGACTTCAAATACTATTATTTCTATCAGTATAGGTTTGTGGAGTTTGTTAAGTTTTTGATCGAGATCATGAATCAATCGATGTTAGGCCACCATTGAAAACATGGAAGCACTGGATGGCCGTTCCATTCTAGTATGGGACTTCTCGGCAGTTTTTTTTTGCCAGTTGAATTCTCAAAACACTCGTTTTGATTCGAAAATACTGGAAACAGGAAAAATATTTACTACCAATTATTCTCACGTCTTCATATGGCTTTATAGTAAACCGACTATGTAGGTGCTTTACCACTTAAGTATACGCATTAAAGTCGACAGGTGATTTTTTGTATCCCATTGACATATAAGACCGAGTAAAAAATATATATTTTTTCTAACATAAATATCTACAAGCATACATACACATGTGATGATATATTAGAATCCCAACATGACCATTTTGCATCACGAGAAAAAGTAGATATTGTTTTGTCGGTTAGAAATAGTTATGACGACCTTGGGTTGACTGTTGAGTGGATACAGACACATATAAACATTTAAATTTAATAATCACGTGAGTCTCGTGACTATACCAGGCTTGTTTATGCATTAAACAGCGTAGCTTTAATCGTATGAATTCAGTTTGGGATTTATTTGAAGAAATTTAGTTTGCTTTCGTAACCTGGACGATCTTCGCCTTGCCTCTCGTTCTAGCCCATTTTTCTTCATTTCACTCTGTGGTGGTGGACCGCCAGGCCGGATATTACATGCGTAGACTGAGTTATCTGCTTAAAATTATCGAGTATTTGAGCAATTACCTTCGTTATTTTTTTGTAGTCCCCTCATTCTTCCTTTCGGGTTCAAAATAACAAAACATTTCCTAATAAGTCGGCCAAACATTGATTCGGCTGGTGACTCCTCGTCTTGACAGTTTGGACTCAGTGTATTTGTATGAGAAGTTAAAAACTGTTGCACAGCCTCTTCTACATTATCTTCTCCCATTGTTCACTCCACAGGACTTCAACACAACTCAGATCAAGGAAATGTGGTTAGTCTGACCACGACGTTTATATATTTCCACATCAAAAACCCGGCACAATCCAACAGCAATGAACAACCAATAATAATTGAGTCATAATGGTAGGGATAGGGGAATACTTAACTCATCTGATACCTGTCAGACTATCTACATGTCTAACTAAGCAGACAGAATTGATGTGTGGGCGAGGATGATGATGATTGGTTATCTGCTTAGTCAGACATGTAGATAGTCTGACAGGTATCAGATGAGTTAAGTATTCCCCTATCCCTACTATTATGACTCAATTATTATTGGTTGTTCATTGCTGTTGGATTGTGCCGGGTTTTTGATGTGGAAATATATTAACGTCGTGGTCAGACTAACCACATTTCCTTGATCTGAGTTGTGTTGAAGTCCTGTAGAGTAGATACTGGGAGTCTAGTGTAGATATTCGTCTAAGGTAAATTAACATCCCATATGTGTAAACGTGCAAACCCAACTGTTATAACATAAGACGAAGTAAAACCGAGCGTTATAACATGCATTCACTTACATTAGGATTTCTGCATGAATTCTCTTGGTGCTACTGGCTTAGTGATCTGCGCTGTTCAATTATAAATTGTAGTTGGTGCTTTGCCTTTTGAAATTTATTGACTGATGGGATTTATTTAGCAACGGTTATCACAACGATTGATATATGAAGCCTTAGGAATTATCTCAAAGATAATCCACTAAATTTTCACTAAGTGTTTTGAACTCAGAAGTTGATTATTTTGATGGAGTTTTGTTCTCTGAGCTGGATAGTTTGGTCGTGGAGCCTCCATCGTTATTCTGAACGGCATCATCAGCACAAACTTCAGGTAGGAGTGGAGTGTTCGAATTTCTCCGTATATGGAAGACAACAAAAGTTGATCCGAATTTTATTAAAGCCCAACATGTTCGCAATGATGAGATGACTATTAACAAGTGAATTATTTTGATAAGCATTTACATAGATAACATGAACAAAATTAAGGATGGAATAAAATATTTCAGAAATCTTCTGTTTCAATAAAAAGAAGAAAGCTAACACTATTAAAAATTTAAGTCAACAGTAAAACACCAATCAAAACATGCAATGTCGAATATATATTTATAAACTTTAAACAAAGAAAATGGAATAAGTAGATGAAGGTTTAAGAAGATAATGAATAAATACGACACATAAAATAACCCATTTGAGATAATTTTAGCTTCAGTCTTTGTATAGTTCGGTTCAGTTTAGGGTTGTTTATTTGGAATGCTGTATTTAAGGACAACAGATGTAAGATATCAAACAGCAAATATGCGTTATATCTATGTTCTCGGACAAGGTCTAATTCGTGTTCCCCTAATCAAAATTAAAAATCCGTAGTGACTCTTCAGTTTGGCATAACTACTTTCCTCCTTTATGTGATAAGGTGAACCCAAAAGCTGTTTGTAAATCTCTTTTATAATCGTATAAATTAGCCTTAGTTTATGTGAATATACTAACCGTGAAGTAGGGTCTCATTTGACGAAACGGTAATTTTCATCTTTCGGCGACCAAACATGTAGATAACTTGTTCCCAAATTCAGCAATATATTTATTCCTTCTTGTCATTTCCTTTTATTCGCCCGAACATTTAACATTTAGTTGATAATCCTAATCCAACAGATATATTTGTTGTTGCGCCTTCCTGCACACAAATGAATTTACTTATTTTCGAAACTACGCTACAACAGTGACCTGAAACTAACCCAAATTGTATTGTATCTAATCTGGGCAACAAAATTGTTCTTTTACAATCTAATTTCACCCCACTGTATCGATCTAAATATCAACTATCAGTGGAGTTTCCATGAATGAAGATACCGTGTTAGGTAAAAATATCAAATGGTTATTTAAAAATAGTTATTCTGATATACTGCACCTAATAATCCTAATGAAAATGTCAGTTAATCAAGGTTTTCTTAAACTTTTAATTTCAAATACTCATCACCCATTCTTTAATGTCTGTGCAACAAGCCATAACAAACAAACCAATTCAGTCAGTGTAATCATTGGTCTCGTGAAAAAAAAACATTTATATCATATCTTTTTCAATACCCTCTCGGAAAGCATCCATGTTAATAGGTTTAAACAAACTTTATTACATGAGAAAGAGAAGTTCAGTGGTGAATTGAATTTACGTGAATAAACGTGGGTTTTTTTTGTGATTTTCTCAAAATATCTTCAACCATGAGCCACTGTAAATGCATGATGATAGTGAATTTCTCTACCTTTAATAGAAAACGTTTTACAAAATTTATAAAATGATCTGCAACTATCTAGGACCACAAGTCATTAGAATGTTATATTTTATAGCCACAACATGTTACGAACCCTTCATTTCTCATCCTGTTTATAAAAAGTCTACCTAAATTATTTAACCGGAATTCCACGCAAACAGTTGTGATTTGTCTCTATTAACTTTTATTTATGAGTATTTTTTCTTCAAGAGTAATACGTTTTAGTCAATCAAATATTATGTTTAAATGAATGCGATTAACACACAACCGAAGTTGTCGAGTAATATAGACACACTCAGGAAAAGAAGTACAATATTGAGTAAATAATCCACAGTAGTTATAGTTATAAATCTTGTTTTACCTTGTACTGATTCATTTTTTTGTCATCAATTTCCGTTAACTCGATTTCACTAGTGAGTTCAATGCTTGAATTATCTATAATAAAAAATTATAAGTCTTCAAAACAAATCCAACACATTGAAATTAGAAACCGGATAGCTTTGTAAATTTATTTATTTTTATTTGAACACATAAATATTGGTACAAGAGAGCGCCAATATATATGCGCCACACTCATCATTCGTGTGTGGGCTGTGATACTGCGCGGGTGCCCAAACCGAAGCAGGTGGTTATCTTAGGGGGCCACACCCCGAGCCTTTGACCTAATGGTCTAACCCACAAGGCAGTGGAGCATCGTAAGGAGATGCAATCGCATGGTAGCCGGTGACCAACGATTGGTTCATACGCCATTTGTTCCCGCAGGATACTGGAGCCCATGTGCACCATTGGTTTGTGATCCGGTTAAAGCGCCGGACATTCGCTTTTTGTCCTCTCATTTTCGTAAACAACACCCCCGCCACGAGAAGGCAGTGAGTAGGACTTCCCTGGCAGAGGCCATATACGCGTGGCCGTGTAAGAGTATTTCGAGAGGGAGAGCGGACTCTCCCCACTCTCGGCCGTACCAGGGCATTCGGGGGCTAAACCTGGAAGCACTGGACGGCTGTTTCGTCCTAGTATGGGACTCCTCAGCAGTGCGCATCCACGATCCCACACTACGCGGGGCTCGAACCCAGGACCGGCGACCATACCACGTCGAAAGCACCGGTTCTCGTCCGATCACCGCAGTTAAGCAACGTTGGGCCTGGTCAGTACTTGCTTTGTAAACATTGCAACTGATTAGAAATGACACTATGGAATTTAAAAAATGTGATTCTAAAATAAATATCAAAATAGAATATTTTTATTGTTATGATATCGAAACACCTTTTGTTACTAAGCCTCTCATCAAAATGAATTTTCAAATTATTTTCAATCATATTGAAATCACGGAACCTGGAAATTTCCACGTAGTCTGAATGTCGCCAGTGTCAATTAATTCTCAAATAATTATTCTTTCATTATATTGGATATGCACTTTACGTTCTTACTAAATGATGCATCTGCAACTAAGAAGTTGTCCTAAATTCTGACAACATAATTAAAGTTTTTTAATTTCAAACTTCTAACTACAAGATAATAATAGTGGTTGTGATAAACAAATGAAAAAATAACCCATATGTATCATGTCTTATGAAATGCATTGCTTGATTGAAATACACTAAGTGATGTTAGACAATTAATTACTAAATAGTATGTTCAATATACTACTTGTATTTATTTTATACATTAGACAAAACATTCTTGTTTTTGGTCTCGAAACTTAATAAATAGAAGGAAAATAGTAGAGCTTCAAATAACCAGTTCATCAGATATATCAATAGACACTTGAACTTTACGTTATACCTTTGTGGCCGTGGATCAGACTCATACTTAGATCGTAAGAATGGCTGTTATCGCCTATTCTCGTATATAATCGTCGACTTAATCGCGTTGGCCAATAACGGAATTAAATAAGTCGAATAACGAGAATTGATTTGTGAATACATATATTTTGTATATGAGGTGAACGAAACAGAGCAAAGCAAAATGACACGCAGGGAAGATGACTGGGAAGCCAACTCCATTTTTGTCAAGCCTTACTCAATGTTTATAGTCAGACAAAATAAAACTACAGACATGCAATGAGTCATGGGATATGATGTGCACACACATATACGCTCATATAAAAACAATGAAGACTGATAAGCGAATAAATAACAAGAGGTCAAAGTATGCCTCAAGTAGAATGAATGAAATGGAATGTCCGAAAGCTAGAATAAGGTATATGGGCTTAGCATAATAACTGACACTAGAATACTGCAAGTTTATACAAACCAGTAAATGACAGTTAATCTGTTTTCAAAAGATAATATTGTCGGCAAAAGAAAAACAGCAATTTGTCCACTTAAAATACTCCATATTTTAGAGATAGAACTGATCGGAAATTGGTACCAGTATAGTGAACGAGAACAAAGGTGAGGACAGCAAAATGTAGTCAAATACAAAATTATCAGAAGGGGTTTTGTGGAGATTTCAACTATTAAATACAAAATTACAGAATCTTTTAGTAAAATCTGTGAACCATACAGTGAATACTCCACTTGCAAAATGTTAATCACTTGTCGCAGACTTAATTGTCCCTTCGTTTCCACACCAATCACTCTCTGTTCTCGTTCTCCTCTCTTCAATCTTATTAACCTTCTGCCGTGAGGCATTTCACTTTCTATTGGTGATACATACTACTTATATCTTTCGACATTAATAGCACAGACCACAATAGTATTTCATAGCTTTCT